ACAAGGCAGAGTAAGCGGACGAGTCGCGGCGGGTGCTGTAGTGGTGTCGCGTCAGGTTAAATAGAACGTACCACTGTGCGTTCTATATCGCACATTACGCGTTGCGACTCGTCCGCTTACTCTGCCTTGTTGCCGCGCGACAAGGCCTCCTGTCGGGTACCCTAAATTTCTCATGAAGTCTGATGTGAAGCTTCATTCTATGCTGTCAAGAAAGCCTAGGTCCGGGCGACTTCTTTATATATTGTACATACATGTATTATATCAGCAAAACTGCGGAAGGGCGTGGCAAATGATGATGCTTGCCAGGCGTAGCGCCAGACCCCAAGTACTGGATCGTAGGATCCAGGCCAACAAAGCCTTTCATCCCTCCGAGGTCGTTGAATTGGTGCCAAATTCGTTTGGGAAACAAAAACACTGACTTGTACATCGGCTGGCCCCCGCAAGTCATTGTATGAGGCCAATCGCATTCAAAGTGTTACTACGATTTTGAATGGAATTAAAATGCTTGGCGCATCCCAAAAGGGCTGCTCCATCTTGAGTGCTTTATCATTATCTATTGCAACTACTCAATAAATATAGCAAATTAAAGGATTGGTAAAACATTTAATGCTGATAAATGCCTCTTTGGGGTAAGGATCGCATTCTATTCAGGTGTCCATGGTGACGCCTGAATAGAATGCTCTTGAATGCTGCTTGGCCGACACAAGACCTAGAAGGATCAGCCGATGTCCAGCTCGCCGTTTTATTTTCTACAGAAAGCCTGCTGCCGTTTAGTCGACCCCGTATGGCACAAACTTCGTTGGCATGAGATAGGTCCTTCTGGGATGTCATCACCCCTACCGTGAGCGTGGGAAAAGGCCTACTGCCATTAAATTTGATTCTTATTACATTATACGAAGTTATACGATCGGTGGCGACACGTTTTGGGGGTTTTGGCATTTTTATGTTTCAAAACTACACAAATACATCATCGAATTCGCGGAATAATGCGCTAATTACTAATAGTGAAATTGTTGGAGAGTTAATGATTATTGATGAAAAAATTTAGAAAGAAGTGAAGTGACGCATTCATAACGGCGGTCGTCAAAGGGTTAAACTGTCTCTAGCTTCTCATCTCTCATGGTCTAACTTGCCCTCAAATCTTTTAGATAAAAGTGGTTCGAATTTTGCGAAAAATTCAAATACTCGCGTTTTTCGGTTACAAAATATTTTAACTTTTATTTTTTTCAAACAATAAACTACAGTAAGAGAAATGAAACACCAAACTTCTTTCCCAGTTCCCAGAGTAAACAGCAGACCAACAGATAAGCAGTAACTTGTAGCAAAGACTACTCGTATGTAATAACTGAAGTTAATTTTGAAATGATTTTCTGATTTATCACATTTTTTTGTCATTTGTGTTTTACTGTATTATTTCTATTTCAAGTTCTGCAGCACAGTTCAAACGTTAAGGCGTGAATTGCTTGGCATGGCTAATCTATGGATGAACGACGTTTCAATGCAATCCAATACCGACCGCAAAGCGTCTCTTCCGGGCACAAGTTCACATGGTAATCGAGCGGCTTGGACGCCTCTAATGGGATAACAAACAGCACAGAATCTCCTGTTGCCCTTCGCGGGTCTCATCGCCGTCCCTCCTCCCGAATCGGATAAAGTTTCCAGGATATGATTGCCAGTATCCATGAACTCATCGCTACCAACGTGCGCTGCCACTTCGACTCTTGACGTCAGTAATCCAGAGAACACTGAACTCTCGGAGGGAACCTGCCAACAGTTCTTGCCGGAAGAATGTAGCGTGTCATTTCTACGTGGTCCTAGTCTGTGTCCAGTACCGAATCCAGCTGTCGATGCCAATCCCTACATGCAATATCAGTTCGCTGCTGGAGCTCAAATGGCATACTTCAGTGAGCCTGATTGATTCGTTTCATTCAAATCTTTTCAGTTGATAACATAGATTGCAACAGCTTAGACTTAGCTCGCCTGCTTTACATAAACAAACCCAATGAAAAGTTATTTTCAGATTCCTTCATGAAAGCAACACAGGGCAACAAAGAATGCAGTGTAGCGCTTCGTTCCCAGCAACAACGGCGGAAGCCTCGTGTTCTGTTTACTCAACGACAAGTAGGTGACCCCACTTCGGGATACGCCATGAACTCCCACTTCATCCTGAATTTAGAATGATTTTTGGTGCTATAGCAAGATACGGGGGCTTTGTGGTGACATTTCATTCAAAACCGAAGCATCTTTAAAACATATTTGATCTTCATCTGGTTAAAAAAAGGAAGAATTCTAGGCGGGATCAGAGATATTCCAGGGTGCTTTCACAATTTTCATTTCCTTCCAAGTGTTCCCCTCGTAGGCGTAGTCTGAGAGGAAGCTCCGTATCTTGCGCTAGCGACGGATCTCATTCTCAAAACTATAGCGTGAACTCGATCAGGTTTAGCTAGACTCTTTACTTGACTTTTTATGAACTCCCCCCCCTCTATTATGTCACATATTCTGTTCTTATAACAGTTTTTACACTTCTTTCTTAACTAGAGAGTGGTTAAGTGGTTGTGGGTGAAGACGTGGATTTATGTTTACTACTGCACTAGTGTTCCAAATGGGGCCATATGTAGGGGCCTTGCGAGAGCACAGCGATCCCACTTTCACCCACTTTTACCTGATAGTTTGCGATAAAGTCGTTGAGGACAAAATTTAGGTAAATGAGTTGGAAGAGCGGTTCAAACGGCAGCGCTATGTGACTGCCAGTGAAAGGGAAGAACTTGCTAATCGTCTTGGTTTGAGCGCAACACAGGTGAGATTCTTTTTCTCAATCATGCTGGAACCAGTACGAACTAGGAGCAAAAAGAAGACACTTCGACCTAAAAGTTATTGTAAGTTTAAAGTGTTCTATTAATAAGGTGAGGGCATGCAAAATGGCTTAGCAGTTTTAAGGGCCTCTATGACCACTCCTTCCTCTCACCAGATCTTTTAGAACATGGAGCGCTTTTTCGAAACGGTTTTTTGCATTTTATAGAGACACGCACAGAGACTATAGAAGTGAAAATATTGTTTTCTGAGCGACTCTGGGAGTGCTAAGAAGTCAGGGCTTGTTTCTCGACCCACACTGGGGACAATCGCTGAAAAATTCCTAAGATGGCAATCGTATCTGATCCCCAGTTAGTAAATGAGGAATGGGAG